ACTTAGTCTGGCCCTGTATACCACCAGTCCTCACCGACACTGTCCAAGGCATTGCGCAAATACAGAAGGATCATCACTCCCTCTCTTAGCCCGGAACCGGTGCCTTTTTCTCCTGAGCCTTCCTCCCCCGCTTCGCCATGCTCGGTGCGTTCAGAGGCTGTGACCCATGGCAGCCCCATTCTGCATCATCAACACAACTCACCGCGTTATTCTCCATCCCCGCAGAGCTATCACTGGCACAGACCCATACTATCCCTGAGGCATGCAAGAGGCAGATCTCGCTCTTCGAGATCACCCTCCCTTTCATCTTACTCCCACTATCGCCATTCTACGAGAAGATTATATTCCCCAAGGTATTCTCCAGATAGAAGTTACTATAGGCACTGCTATGAACAACATTGCTACATTCACCGTTGCCCTTATTCAGCACGATGTACCCGCTCAAGATCACCTCACTACCACAAGCACACATGCTCCCCACGACACCATCAGTCCAATTGCTACATCTGTGATCACGGGACCCTAAACCCCGACCGGGGATGTGCATATTGGGCACATATTGGAGCAGGACCAGCCACAGGGGGAATCCCAGACAGACCAATCATCCTCATCCCCAGATGAGGAGATCTTTCCTGGTGGCTGTTCACCCACTGATGATGCCCACTAATTCCAAGACCTATTCAAGCGTGTGGCGGAATCCCAAGAAGTGCAGCTAACCCAAGTCCAGCAAAAACAGCACAGGCTTCTTACAACCGTCACAAAAGTAGAAAGTTGCATTACCTCTGGATGAATCAATACTTGAAGTAGATGTTAAAATTGTGGTATAGGATGGCTATCCCACCTCTAGAAAAGCCTTGCAGATAGTGCTGGATATTGCTGACACAGCTTCAAGAACCACCGTCACATTAGTGGTGATGCGCAGAGCATCCTGGCTCCAACTGGGTGCAGTACCAAAAGAGCTACAGTCAAAAGTAGAGGATTTGCCCTTCGACAGGCAAAGCTTATTTGGACCAGGTGCTCCATTTGGGCAAGGATTCAAGAACCATGCTTAGGATGCTCGGCATGTATACCCCGCTTTACCGATGCTGACAATATACGCCTTACTATCATCAGAGGCCCTTCTCATATGTGGCATCTCGATTCAGACAATATGACCAACAACGACCTAGGCAGTGGCAGCAGAGGTGACGACCTCAAAATAACAGGGTACCGAACCAACAAAATAACCGGCAGCCTTGATAGCTTGGTTGGGGGTCTGCAAACCATCCCTATGGTGTACCATCCAGATGAGTCGCACAAACTGTTCCATCATAGATTGAGACCATACCAGCATCGGTGGTTTGCAATCACCACCGACAGATGGATTCGCAAGCTAATTACATCAGGCTACACAGTCCAATTCGCTTCTTCACCCTCCCCATCCCTCTTCAGGGACCACTCTCACGAGCCTCTCTTAAAAACAGAGGTTCTCCAGCTACTCACGATCAGCGCTATAGAGAGGATGCCCAAACAGTTCCGGGCCAAGGGATTCTATTCCCATTATTTCTTTACCCAGAAGAAGTCAGGAGGGTGGAGACCAATATTGGAACACCGATGATTCAATCGATACCTTCAAAAGTACAGGTTCAGGATGGTGAAACTGGCTTCCATCCTTTCAGCACTCAATAAAAGGGAGTGGTTTGCGTCCCTCAACTTACAGGATGCCTATCATCACGTGACCATACATCTGGCTCACAGGTGTTTCCTCAGGTTCCTGGTAGGCGATGAACATTTTCAATACAAGGTTTTTCCTTTTGGCCTTTTATCAGCGCCCAGAATTTTCTCAAAGATGTTAGCTGTAGTGGCCGCGTATCTCTGCCGACAAGGCATCATAGTATTTCCATATCTGGACAATTGCCTAATCAAGGCGCCTACTGTGGAGGAGGCATCACAAGTGATCAATATCACACAAGTTCTATTCAACACTCTTGGGCTCATAATCAATCTTGCAAAATCTTCCATGACTTCACAGCAATCCCTCGAGTTCATCAGAGCACGATTGGATTCTACCACGGCCAGGGCTTACCTGCCCCATCCAGATTCCGGGTAATTCAGGATTTCGTACAGATACTTTCCACGAGCCCCAAGATCTCGATACTTACCTGCCTGGGACTTATGGGTCATATGGCCGCCACCACATATGTGGTGCAGTATGCAAGGCTACACCTCAGATGCCTCCAGCATTGGTTAGCTTCGATTTATCGACCGGGCAATCACGATCTTCACAGAACAGTGTCCGTCCCTCCTATGGTACAGGAATCCCTAACATGGTGGAGTACCCCCACAAACATGCTTGCCGGCGTTCTTTTCTGTCGTCCACAACCCCCAGTACAGATCACAACAGACACATCCTTGCTGGGCTGGGGAGCTCACCTTAGAGATTACCAAATTCAAGGCCGAGAGTCTGCTCAAGAGTCCTTCCAACACATCAATTTCCTTGAGCTGAGAGCAGTAGTCAGCACCTGCAAGCATTTCCTACCCCCATATCCAAGGCCGCTCTATTCAAATTCTCTCAGACAACATGACGGCAGTATACTACATCAACCGCCAGGGCGGTGCCTGTTCCCAATCCCTTTGCACAGAGGTGGCACGTTTATGGAACTGGTGTATCCATCACAATATCTCCATCGTTGCAACATACGTGCCAGGCAAAGACAATGTCATTGTCGATACTCCCAGCAGGCACCTGATCCACCAGTGGCAGTTGAATTCGGAGGTAACACGACACATCTTCCAAAGATGGGGGCTTCCGCCATAGATCTATTTGCAACGTACCACAATACAAAGTGCCCTTCTTACTGTTCCAGAGCAGGCATTGGACCGAAATCTCTGGGAAATGACTTCCAAATAGATTGGAGTCACAAATGCTGTTCGCTTTTCCTCCGATTCCACTGATTCCCGAAGTCTTGGAGAAAATAGAGACAACACCAAGGTCATTCTCATAATCCCCTTTTGGCCCCACCAGATGTGGCTCCCATTTCTCCTCTGGACGTCCATATCTTCCCCCTACCACCCACCATACCGACACGACATCCTGACACAGCATCAAGGGAGAATCAATCGTACACCCAGAGATTCATCGCCTGTACCTCAAGGCCTGGTTCCTACCTGGTTCCAGCACACAGAAATGACATAGTCCCAGAAAGTCAAGCATGTGCTGATGCATAATAGAAGGGATTCTACACATATTACTTACCTGTACAAATGGTACCATTTCCAATCCTGGTGCTAAGACAGCAACCTCAATCCCAATTCTTTTTCCGTCTATCGCATCCTCGATTATGTCCTACAATTACAAAGATCCGGTTTAATGCTCTTCTCTATCAAAATCCACCTTGCAGCAATCTCTGCCTTTCAACTTCTGATAGAGGGTTACTCACTATTCTCCCATCCAATGATCAAGAAATTCTTAAAGGGACTCGCAAACTTATACTCCCCACCCCACATAGGGAACCCACAGATGTGTGGGACTTGGAGTTAGTTTTAGATGCTCTAACCTGTCCCCCTTTCAAGGTTGATGGTGACGTCTGACCTGCCTACACTCACTATGAAGGTCACCTTCCTCCTGGCTATTATCTCTGCACGAAGGGTGGGTGAGCTTCCTGCCTTCTCAGCTACACTGCTAAATACACTTTTCACCAACCAGGGGGAAATACTATTTCCTCATCCCAGTTTCTTCCCAAAGGTGAATTTGGAGTTTCACATTCATGAACCTATCGTACTCCCAACCTAAACCGCACTCGTCTCCCTGTGAGTCTTGCCTACACACCCTAGATGTTCACCAGGCTCTCGCATTCTACTTGGACACAACACGAGCTTTCCATAAATGTGAACGCTTGCTACTATCCACTGCCTCGTCAACTTCATCCACCTGATCTGGTGGTCTATAACAGACACTAACCACAACATCACCTCTGTTGCTCCCACCTTCAAACTTAACCCAAAGACTGTCAACAGGCTTTTCGCCCTCTGTATACTGCAGATCTGAACAATCATACTGCTCTCTTAGGGTATGTCTACACTACCACCCTAGTTCGAACTAGGGTGGTAGTGTAGACATACCCTAAGAGAGCAGTATGATTGTTCAGATCTGCAGTATACAGAGGGCGAAAAGCCTGTTGACAGTCTTTGGGTTAAGTTTGAAGGTGGGAGCAACAGAGGTGATGTTGTGGTTAGTGTCTGTTATAGACCACCAGATCAGGTGGATGAAGTTGACGAGGCAGTGGATGTTTGAATGAGGGGTCCTCTGTTGCTCTTTCGTCCTTGTGCTTTTTTCTGGTATCCCACTTCCCCAATTACCTCCGGCTTAGGTCACCATCTTCCAACGAACCTAGTTTAAAGCCCTCCTCTCTAGGTTTGCAAGCCTGCCCGTGAAGATGCTCTTGTTAGTTGGGTCCCAGCTCTTCCTAGCAGTCCTTGTGCCCGAAACAAGAGTCCCATGGTCCAAGAACTCAAAGCCCTCTCTCCGACACCACCTGTGTAACCACACATTTAATTTCACAATTCAATGATCCCTACCAGGACCTTTTCCTTCAACACGGAGGATGGACGAGAACACCGTCTGCACTTCAAATTCCTTGATCCTTCTTCCCAGTGCTACATAATCTCCAGTGAATTGCTCAAGATCGTTCTTGGCCGTATTGTTAGTTCCTACATGGAAAAGCAGGAAGGGGTAGAGATCCGAAAGTTTGATCAGTTTTGGAAGACTCTCAACTGACAATAAGAGAGGGTCATTAAGCATTTATGCTAAAAGACAAAGAGGCAACAGGAGCTTGGTCTCTTTGGCAGAAAGCTTCATTCCATAAGGAGTCACCAACTGCAGAGCCATTTGCCGTTATGTTTGAAAACTCATGGCTAGAGAATCCAGCTCACATAATCAAATATCTCATGTAAATCAGATTTTAAAGAATATTTAAATACAGTTTAACTATTGATACATTTAAAGTATTTTCTTGCCATAGAGAGGAAACTGCGTGAACTATCAGAAGCGAGAAAGGCTTTGCTTGAAAGTCTGGAATCAAACCTTAAAGATCTACAACAAGCACAGGCTCTAGCGTCTAGCCAACCAAGCATTATGGCTGGTAAGTACAGGGGTAGGTGCTGATCCTGCATTCCTTACTCTGCCAGAACTGCAATTTGAGTTTTATGTTCACATGTAAAGGCTTTTTGAGCCTTTCTAAAAAGAGATTAGCCTGGTTAAGTAGTGCAAGATAGACACATTATTAATATAAAGATTTGTTGTATTGATAAAGCACATAGGAAATCTGTGGTTACTATGGATGGAGTGGCCACCAGGGCACCTGAGATTTTTTTCTCTTTCCTTTTCTTTGGAAAGAACTTGCTCTTCCCCATCCACACATGCTTTTTTCCAAAAGAGCTCTTTTGGAAAAAGTCTTCTTCCTTGTAAAAAGATATTTACCAATGTCAGAAAAAACCCTCTGATCTTTCGATTTTTTTTCAAAAGTAGACAATTGCACTGTGGACGTGAGTGGTCTTTTTGAAAAACAGACTTTAAAAAAAAACAAACAAAAAGACTCTGTGTTAGCGGCGAGGAGTCCTGTGGCACCTTAGGCTGTGTCCAGACTCAGGGGTTTTTTCG